AAAAAAAAAAAAAAAAAAGACGTCCTTCCATAGCTCTCCTCATCTCTGGTACTTGGTCAACAAAAAAAAAGGAAAATAGAAAAAAAAGAACATTCCCGTCACATACCCAACCAACCAACATCATCATCATCATCATCTTCTCAATCATGACCATATCGTCATTTTCTTATCGATCATAATCATCATCAATCATCATCAATCATCAGCAATAATCTGCCGCATTACCATGGCCTCGTTGGAATAGCGACCCCTCGATGTCGGGATCACGTTGGCATTTGCACTTCCGATGATGAACATCAATCATGATTTGTTGTCGTCATCACTTAAATACTCACAACAGGATCTGACAGCGGCATTTGCAGAAGATGGATGACAGCCGGAAAAGAAGGGAACACAGGATGACTGGGGCGGGGGGCGGGGGGCGGGAGGATGGGCAATTGAAGAACAGGGGTGAGAGTAGGGGAAGGCGATGGGAGTACCAGACGGGAGAGGAGAGAGGAAGCGTGAAGGACGAAGGGAAAAAGCAGCTAAGGGGTGAGAGAGTGGAGAGAGAAGAGTAGACCGAAGGCGGAGAGGGGGGGCCGGGGACGTGGGGGGGGGGGGGGGGGTGGGGGGGGGGGGGAGAGGCACGGAGCGGGAAAAGAACTGACAACCCAAAAACATTTAGGGCATACTCGTACTCGCAGTTTATTAAATATATCTGACTGCAATTACGGCAAGACCTGGATGAATCTGGCTGCAAACGTCCAGAAGTTAGCACAGAGAGTCCTACCGGCTTCACCCGAATAGAACGCCTGGTCGTTATCGCTGTATCTAGACTGAAAGTTGCCCAATATACAGCTATAATGACCGGGCGTTCTCTTCGCGTTGAAGACGGTAGAGTGAGTATGCCCTTAGAGATGAGCATTCACGAGTCGAGGCTGAGCTGGATAAGTTGGGAGGTGCACATGCTGTCGACGCAGGTCGGAATCGCCGCCAATGAATAAATAAAGGCGGCGGAAATCCGTCGGGATCGCGTCAGGGGCATATTTTCAAGGTCGGCCGAGATAGAAGCACGAGGATCACAAATTGCTAAACACAAGAAACGAGAAACAAAAGTGAAACAGTGAGGGGTCATAAGGAGTCAACGAACTGGGGGGGGG